TTTCTATAAATTCCTCTGATGTACTAACAATCTATACATTTTTCAAATAGTTGAGATTACATTTTCATATTGAAACAGATCAAGATCAGATTTTTATTTTAAGAATAAAACCAAGGGGCTTTGACATAGGAAATGTGTACATATATCCAATGCCATTATTTTAAACTACAAATACAAAAACACTTGCCTTAATTCAGAAGTCAGTCACTTAAGCTTTAATTGATTTTACTTTTAGCACACCTCAAAAAATGATCTTTAGGTATTAATAGTGCAGTTTAGACTGAAAGCTACTCTACAGGTTATAAATGTTCAAGAAGATCAGCAAATGTTCTGAAGATCAGCAAAGAAGTACATGCTTCTTTTGAAGAAGAGCTTGTTTTTATCTCTTTGACTATTCCAAATGAAGATGTTTTACAGCCTACTATTCATGAATATTACATTGTGATGACCGGGGTAAAGAAAGAATATTAAGAGGAATATGACCCTGTTGGATCTCTTATAAGTCAAATGAGTTGGTTAAATGTCCATAAGCTAAATGAAAAGTGATCCTCTTCTTGTGGATTACTAATTATAAACCATGAAATGGTGATAAGAAATTCCAGAGAATTATTAGTAAAGCCCCAGAAAAATTAGAAAGTAATCTCTAATAATATGCAAAATGAAGCAGACAGCATGATAGTTGGTGTCTGGAAGTTCTGTTCCTGATCCATCAGATTGGGTTTGTTTGACTCTTGCTCTACCACTTGTATGAATGGGGAAGTTACTTTCTTCTCTGAGCTTCTTTCCTTACTGAAAAATGGAATTAAAAAAAAAAAGTGTGTGTGTGTATTTAGTGTCAGGGAATGAACCCAGGGGTGCATAACCACTGAGCCACATCCCAGCCCCCTTTTTAAAATATATTTTACTTAGAATTGGGGTCTTGCTAAGTTGCTAAGGCTGGCTTTGAATCTTATATTTTGTACAAATTTAAAATCACTTTTCTTTACAATAAATATGATTCTTAATAGTCCTGGTTGTTAAGAGAATCTTCCACAGATCCACTGTGAGAAACAACAGAATGATTTATATAAGACATTTTACACACACACACACACACACACACACACACACACACAATACACACACAAACACATATGGTTTGATAACCATCAAATGAAAACAGAATAGGAATGGAAAAGAAACACCATTCATCATAGTAACATGACTTGTGGCACCACAGTAAAAGGGCCTGTCAATGTTTCCACTGTAAACTGCATTTTTTGAGGGTTACAGCATTGCTGGCACAGATCCCTTAGCACTATACTTACATACAAAAAGTGTCATCCTGGAACATATATAGTATAGATTTGTAATAAGTTTTACTGTTCCCTAAGTAGTAATCATCACAAACTTTAGGAACTAGAAACTTTAAAAAAGTCCTTAACAATTATACCCATGTACATACACAGAGAGAAGCTATTAAGAGCTGATGGAAAACAATCTTCTAATATTTGCATAAAGATTTTATAGGGATCAAGATAGGATGGCAGAAAATAATGCCTTGAAGCATTAGTGTATGAGGAAAAAATTTATACACACACATACATGAAGACTATTGCTATTGAGTTTTCAGTGATTTAGGATTAACTGAGCAAATTCAAAAGGAATTTGACATAAAAATCCTCATACTTGCTCTATCTTTGCCACGGATGTCCTTCTCCAGCTTTTGCTATTCTCGTACCTGACACCTCCTCATCTTGTTGCATGATCCACTGAGGGTCCTACTTTCTTACTACAGCTTCCTGTCATGAGAAATGCCCAGTAGTTTAGGCCACCATTCAGGCTGTCTCCTTCCCTGTTACCTCAGGATTCAAGTTCTTCAATGTCAAACAGGTGGTTCTTTAAACCCACTGTTGTTCAAGTTCTAGGAACCTAGGACTCAAGTTTAGAATAACTGTTAGTATTAGTTATATTTTGAATTAATAGGTTTTTTTTGTGTTAGTCTGCTCTGTGTACACTTGTAACAGGGTTTCTTTTGGAAAATGTATTATGAGTTATAAATAAACCTCACAAATCATTTATAATTGAGGAGATCCAGAATTACCATATGATGTACAAACTTCAATCCTAGGTATATATCCAATAAGACTGAAAACAGATTCAAACTGATATTTATACACAAATGTTCCTAGTAGCTCAAAAGTAGAAACAACCCAACTGTACAACAACAGATGAATAAACAAATGTGATATATATATGCATTTTTATATAAAGATGTGTGTGTGTGTATATATATATATATATATATAAATTTATTCAACCATTAAAAGGAATGATAAACTGGTATATGCCACAACATGGATGAACCTTGAAGACATTAGGTTAAGTGAAAGTAGCCAAACCAAAAGTCAAATATTATTTAATTCCACTTATATGAAACATCTAGAATAAAGTTAATTCAGAGACAGAAAGTAGATTAGAGTTTCTCTAAGGGTCAGAGGAGGAGGAAATGGAGAATTACTGCTTAATGAGTATAGAATTTGTGGTGATGAAAAAGCTCTATTCATGTATAGTGGTGGTGATCACATAACATTGTACATGTGCTAAATGCTGTAGAGTTGTATGGTTTCAACTAATATAATAATTTTATGTATTTGACTTTAAAATCAGTAAAAAGATTGAATAAATCAGTTACCTATAAATATATCAAATCTTAAATAGCAGATAAAATACAAAAGACATGGTAGGGAAAGAGACCTGAGTAAATAGTTAGAAAACCTAAAAACCCAAGATCAAACCCTGACTCTGCCTTTACTAATGAGGTTCTCTTAAATGATTCTGTCCTTTGGACTAAGGAATACAATAGCTCCCATGGAGTTCTAGGGTCAATTTATAGCTTATGATTGTTTTTCAGATTATAAACTATCTAAGGTTGAAATGAGCCAAATGAAAGCTTCACTAGTGATGTGTGGGTTGGGATGAAAAACTTGAGTCTATTTTGATTGAAACCCTTAATAAATCAAGCTCCACGTGTGAAATAAGAAAAGGAAATTGCATTTCTAACTTTTTTTACTAGTGGCATAAGGTTTCTGAATAGTAACATGTGATTTATTTAATATAATCAAGGAAGGCAGTCTACTTCCATTTGTTAAAAAATCAAAACAAACAACACCAAAAAGAAATCTGTCTCCTTAAAATGTTTAAAGGAAAATAACTTAAGAATGTATTACAGAAATTATATTATCTGGTATTTCCTTTTTTTTTTTGGTACCAGGAATTGAACCCAGGGGCACTTAAGCACTGATCCAAAGCCCAGCCCTTTTTATTTTTTATTCTGAGACAGGATCTCACTAAGTTACTGAGGCTACCTTTGAACTTGGGATCTTCCTGCCTCAGCCTACAGAGCTGCTGGGATTATAATGTGGCATTTACATTTTTATATAGCTAAGATAGCTAATATTTTAAAAACTCTTCATAAATCAAAGGAAAAAATTCAAATATAAAGCAATATATTGGTTTATGGATCTATGTTGCATCTATACAATGTATATATTCATGGGCAAGACTGGGCATCCATGTACCTTGTTAAGGGAATAATAAAAATAGTTTAGGTAATCTGACACAGTGGGAAGGTTCCTGTACAATAGGATTCTGGTAACTGAATTCTACTCCAAGGTGTTCCAGTTGGTGATCTATATAACCTTGAGCATTTGCTGTACCTCAGTCTCCTTACTTGTACCATGACAAGATTAGGTAACAACTTTCCTAGAAAAAAGTTTTTAAAAAACTTAAGCAGTAGAAACTTTTCTTTAAACTAATTGTTTCAAGAAGCCCACTATTTCAAATAAATACACTCAAGCCACTCTCTTTAAAGTAAGAGAAGGAATTCAGACGTATGTTGGCTTTCTGCTCCCTATTTTCCTGGCAGCTCCTAGGTGCCTCTGAAGAAGCTTTGGCCCTCCAAAGAACATGTCTAAAATGTACTGGGCCAGGAAAACCTAAGACCCCTTCCTGTAGTATGTTTTTATTTCAGTAATATATGTATTTTCATATGTCTCACATAAATGTTTACTTCTGGAGTTCTTTCATTATAAATATATTTTTGGAAAACAGAAGAAAAAGTTCAAGAAAGTATTTCCATCCTAAATTATGCTACTCTAGTTTAATGCTGCCACAATTAAAGCAATTAATTATAGAAATAGATTTTTTTGTAGTTAATTGCTTCTTTTGACCTTTTTTCAATTTGGTATGAATTATTTCAATTTATTTCGCATTTAATTTTTTTTGTAGGAGCAGAATTTTAAAGAAACATGCGTGCGCACATATACACAGACACACACACACTGTGTTCTTTTCCAATAGCTTACTGTGCTCTTAGATCTATTCAATCATCATTGGCAATCAGCATTAAATGACAATCTACCCTCTGGTTAGGAGCTAACTTGCTGCTCTAACCTATCTTTACAAACCTTGCTATATATACCTTAATCCTTTCAAATGCAACTGTGACACAAAGTATTACAGACTTTTAAAAACCTGTTCTCTTGAAAAAAATTGTGGAGCATCAGTAACCAGATAGTATTCTCAAATTTCAGTGATCTAGTCCATGGAGCCATCCCCTATGCACAGTGCTCTGTTTCATGCAGTACATGGCTTTAGCTGGCCAAATCTTTTTTTTTTTTTTTTTTCCCAATGAATCAGTAGAACAGTAAAGATCTTACTTTTTTTTTTTTTTAAACCAGTAGCATATCAATGAGGCACAGATGTGTATTCCAACTCTGCATGGATGAGCACACTGTTCAATAGTGCTGGCTCACACGGTATCAGGGCGAGTTATCACTTCCCATGAAGGCACTCTTATCACCAGGGCCCAGAGAGGTGGCTGCAAATCGCAGCCTTTTTATTTTCAAGGCAGTTTTGCTGAACATTCAGGCTTCAAAGATTCACACTTCCAAAACTCTATAAGAGTTTGTGAACGCTCAATTTGCCAAAACTGTTTACAGTGTAATTGGGCACCGTACCTGTGTCCATGAGATAGCGAAGGCGCTTCTCCACCAGCGCGGCACGGGTGTCAATTTGCTTTTGCTCATTCTCTAGTGCTGCCAATTCTCCTACAACATACTGACTGGTGTCTTTGAACCCTTTCTGTTAACGAGAACAAACAGGAAGGAAAAAAAAAATCACTTGTAAGTTGCATTTTTCCTTTTTACAAACACTTAGTAAAGCACTTACCTAGAGAACCAAATACACCCATAGTATTACCCCTTAGTAGCAAAAAGCAACTCTATCCCTGTGATTTAGGAATTTTTCATGTGTTATATATACCAAACTTTTGTAAATAGAGAACATTTTAGCTGTTTAGTATTATACTTATAATTTCACACCCAGAGTTGCAAGATTTAAAAAGTGAATACTAAGTTTAAAAATTATCCTTAGAGTTAAGTCAGAATTATTTAGGAATGGACAAGGACAGCAGAGAATTTTCCCTTTGGTGACTACTAAAGAAAAGAAGAGGAAAAAAAGTGTAATATGCAAAAATAGAGCTTTACTAAAAAATTGATCTTTAAAATAATCATTCTGAGAGAAATCAGAGTTGCTCTATAAAACATAAAATTAAAAAGATTTTTTTTTGCTTTTATTGGGACTATACTTTTAAAACATGATAAAAGAAGATGCAGTATCTCCAGTTTTCCTACCAGTAGCTTCTGTATTTAAACATGTCATTCTCTTGATTGTTACTAATTCCTAAAAGCTGTAAATTCTAACCTGACAGGTGGTTTCAAACCTTGCTACACAGGGTTTAATGCAACTAGTATACTGATTTGATTAATCTTCTATTTAGCCAAATTTGGATTTCAATTTAAAAATTTACTTTACCATTCATGTTAAAATTGTTTTCTTAAAAGTTTTATTTGAAATATAGCAGCTCTATTAGAAAGAGTCAATATAGTAAAAATTTTTATTTTTATATTAGAAATTTAAGTCATTATGGGTTGGATTATTATTTATGGTACTGCCACAAAATGGATTAAATATGAGCTCCCTTTGGAACACCTGTTTACTTTTTTATTTTTCTAGAGCTAAGAAGCCTAAGCAACTGAGAATAACTAAAGAACTGCTTAAGTGATTATGCTCACTACCACCACTGTTATTATCAGCACTTATAACACTATTTATTCATTGAGATAAATGTGTAAAATCTTCTGTCACATGCCTAGAAGCATATTAATCTCTAAGACACAATGAGAAATTATCTTTTGGCATTCCTTAAGCAAGAAGCACAATCAAGAATTATGTTAATTATGAGCATATTGTGGAATTCTCATAATCAATAAACATATCTAACGCTAATAATAGCTTGACACCTTCTAAACTAGTAAATTATTTGTACTTACATGTAAAATCAATTTATACCAACTAATTATTAAATTGATTATGGAAGTTGACCAATATAAAGGTGAAATATTTTAAGAAATCATAAAACTGATAACTTCTCAAGATAATTTCATTTTAAAAAGTCACTGTGTTTTAAAAAGATCCATAAAAAATATACTTCAATTTCAATATGAAATGAAATGGAAAAATTACAACAGAATAAATGATAATGATAACTTTAAAATCTGGAATGATTTGGTGACAGCAGAACAGTTTCAAAAGGGACTTTTCCTATTTTTCAATCCTATCCAAAGAGAAAAAACAAACATGGTAGTTTTTCAAGACAATACGAATAACAAAAATATAAGAAAATAGAAGTGATAAGCAACATACAAACTTCATTGCTTTAGCTGATTAGTTAAAAATAGTAATTAATTTCATTACCAGATTTCTTTAGTGTGACTATATGCTATACTCAAGTATTCCATAACTTAAAAGCTATACCAAATACTTGGGATATATAAGTGATATTCTATGTACTTAGACCTTTCCAGGTCTTCTAAAGGTGAATAACTGAAAATGAGAAGTTTTTAGAATTCTAAAATGCAGTTGGTAATTCTGAGTGCATTTATAGGGCTTTTAAAATCCCACAAAGACTATTTTAACAATAAAAATAATGAAAATGTTTAGACAAACTGTAGATAATAAGAAAGTACCATTAAAGAGAGCTATGTTTCCAGACAAAAATTCAAGTTAAAACTTGTTCTTCCTGCTTCTGTCCTGCAGCTGTCCATCAAAAGCAGCTTTCTCCCTGCGGTCTATCAAATATTTCCCTCACAAATCAATTTTACACATGATCAGCCCATACCCCTACTGAGCTGAACCTCCCCGTTAATTAAGTGAAGAAATTACCATATATATTATATTAATGCAAACATCATTCAGCTAGTAATTCACGGCTGATCTGGATAATGGAAAGGTTGAACACCCATTAACCCAAGCCAACAAAATGGGTTGGCTGAGAAATTCTAGCAGGTCTCATGTGACTTTTCCCTCTAACTGCAGCTCTGCGGTATCTGCTATTGTAATAATTAAAATCCTCCCGGTAGATCAATACTGGAATCTCTTTATGGGAAGTGCCCTGATGGAAATGTCTCAAGGAAGCTGGGGCTGTGGAACTCTGAAAAATTCATTTTTTTTTATCTGACAATTATCACCACACTGCAGACTAATTCAACAGCGCACCCCTCTCACTCTGCTTTGAATGCACTGGAGATTGACATCTTAAAAAACCTAACATCTCATTTTAACAAATAAAGGCACTATTTCCACATACAGTTTGGAATTATCAGCAATCATGAAACCACACAAAAAATTAATATACATTAAGCACTTCATCTTCTGATGGCTTCCTCTGAGTTTCAGTTATCGCTGCCTTCTCCTCATTTCCTTTCTTTGTATCTTCCTGTATTGATCTCTGCCTTTTCATCTCTTAAAAAAAGGGAAGAGACATGTAAAATTATTATAAAGCTTGATATTTGTGTATTGAAAGGTGGATTTACATTATCAGCTTCATAATATGTGTGTGTGTGTGTGTGTGTGTGTGTATACACACACACACACACACATATGTATGTATGTGTATAACTACTACTAAATCATAAGATTGGAAACATTTTAAAAAGTGTTCCTACCTGGTCTATTCTCAACATATTGACTGAAAGACTGAAGCTGAGTTTTTCTGACTGTAGAATCCTTATTGAACAAAACAGGATTTTTAAAACGTTCTGTTGCTTTTTGTAATCGCTCAGTCCGGAGATCTTCTGTGCCATTCTAAAAGTAAAACAGCAAATTGTATGAGAATACTAATCATATAAACATGAAATTACACATTAAGATGGCAACTTTTATTAATTTAAGACAATAATGCTGACTTAGAACCTTCAGAAACTCTTTGAAGAAAAGGGATTTTAAAATACTCTAAATAGCTCAACTACAAGTTCAACTGCCTGTAATAAAAAATTTGGGATTTAGTCCAAATAGTCCAAATCCTTGATAACTTTGATACATTAGATACTAAGAACTCTTGTGTCTTCTGGTGATAGGTATCATTTGAAAGCCCCGTTGCCTCCTATTTCCTCTACTATTCTGCCCCTTCGATTTGTACAGTCCTAAGACTTGTATGACAAGAAAAAATAGTTTCTAATTTTATGCCCATTGAGATAAACCACTAATGCTGGATGAAGGCTAAAAGGTAGGATTATAATACTACCCCACTGAACTGCATTTCATCAGCTATAACTTTCCAAAGCCAGATTTGTAAGTAAGCCCTTTACAGCTAAGGAAACTACAATTATCTCTTCTGGAGCTTCCTATGTTAATACTGGTAACAAATTCAAATGGTTCTATCAACAAGAAATATCCCAGAAGACTGAACCACTGCAGTGTGTGGAAGCTGCAGATACCGAGGTGCTGTGTACCAAACAAATATTTCATTTTATACCTAATCTTTTATTATTTTTATTAAGTGTTTTGAAAGTAAATAGGGAAAGGCTAAGATGCATGACTAATAGCTAAGCCTGCTGAATGCTGAAACTGGTTATCAAAAGCAACCAAGACTTTGCCCTTCCTCTGCATTGAGACAATCAGTAATGAGGGAGCCCTCCAATGGCCTATTCTCTAGCCTCAAGGAGGCCTGGGATACAGAATCCTCAAGGGAAGGTAACAGTTTATCCTTTTCCACAAACAGAATGCCTCATTTATAAATGTGTAAACTGCATTTTACTACAAAAATAAAAACCCAAATCAATGCTGAAAAGCTTCAAGAGAACAGATAGACTCTATATGTTTTTTATAAATACCATTTTCAAAATCTTAGGTAAAAAGATTCATATAAAGGCAATCTTTTTAAAGCATACCTTTTGTTGGAACAACTTTAAAAATTACTACATAAGCTTTTTGGAAAGCAAACCAATTTCATGTATGTAGATGATTAAATCATAAGAAGAAAAACACCTCTCTTTTCTTTTCTAAAAGTTATCTGATATAGTTCTTGTAGTATCATCCTTAAAATAGCCTTCCTAGCAGTTAGGATACAAATAAGTTTGGATTTCTTTTTGATTTTTTTAAGAAAAAATGTGAATTTTACTGTTATTATAGTAACTATCCAATAGTGTAAAACTCAAGTCTTTACCAAAATAAACAAACACAGCTAAATTTTTTTAGGCCTGGCAACATGCTAAAATATCAGTGTGATTAGCCAGTAAATCCCATCTTAAGAAACCTTTTTATGACTAGGGACTTCTGCCACTTTACAAATGTATTCCTCTAAACCCACTAATTCAGTTAGCCTTTTCAATCCATTGTATTATTCTTAGGCCAGCTTCATTCTGCATTAAATCCACTGCAGAAAGCTAAATTGAACGCAAAAAATCAGACCTGATCCAGGCTTCCTTTTGTTCAAAGATAGAGACCAAAAGTCCTCTGTTGCTGCCACACACTTTCATCACCAATTTATAGAAACCGACAATATAGGGGAAAAGCAATGAAAGTCATTGTTTTGGGACTTCAAAGCATCTCTGTGTCAGGGGAAGGAAATCCTTTCAGTCAGCAGGGCAATCCCCATAGTCCGCAGGTGGGTGAAAAGTTATACAGGACTGAAAGTGCCCTAAAGCTAGAAAAAAATATTAATGATACATTGTGAGGAAAAGGAGGGAATGTGTGGATAAGGATAATATAGATAATAACAATATTCTTATAATGTGGCATTTTGGCTAAAATGCAATATTAGGTTAAGATTCAAAATGGCACAAAAGCATCTTCAGGTATGATGAATCTTATAAATAATGTAAATTCTAGTTCATTTAAACAGAAGGAAAGTTGAAGATGATAGAAAAGTATTCTACAATCTTCTAGGCAACATTTTTCTTAGCAAAATATGAATACATACAGAACTCAAGAATTGTTTCTATATACTCTCTACTTTTACTGAAAATAGCAATTAAAAGAAGGAGTTTCTCTGAATAACAGTATATAAGCACTGATTATCATATTGATGTTCAGTTTATTGGCTAGTTAGTAAAAATTTTTATAACTTAATGAGAACAATTTGATAAGAAATTGTTTTTAGGATTATAAGGTATCAGTAGAAACCAGAATATATAGATATTAAGCCAAATATTAAATAAGTAAGATTACCTTAATTTCTTGTTCTGAGCTCTCAGTTCCAGCTTTCTGGGCAGCATTGGAGAATGAATTTGCCACCTGTGGTTGAGCTTCTAGGAGCTTCTTCAGCTTCAAGTCCACCAACTTACTATTTTGTTCTGTTAAATATGCAAAGATTATGAATAACAAATGAGATGTATTTTGATGTGTAGGCTACCAACTTTAGGTGACAGCATAAAAACATTACTGTATTTTTAAAAAAAAGGACATTAGGGGTGCAAGGTAACACATCACACTAGACACATGCAGACCTCTGTGTGTGTGTGTGTGTGTCTGTGTGTGTGTCTGTGTATACACACACACATACACACTTCACTCTCACAAATCATTTCCCTTAAGGAATATAGTCAACATATCTAAGGACACCTAAGTTATACTACAGTTTAATAGCTATGCTTACCTGAAAACTTAAGGTATATGTGATACATAAACAAGTAACTGTATAGATTGTATACAATAAAAATAACAAACTAGATATTTCAAAGAAGAGATACATTTGATTTTAAATTATGATTTTACTATTTCTTTAAAATATGTTAAATGTATACATATAGTATCATATTAAAATAAGTTTTTAACATAATCCCAGTCACATACACACTGTTAGAATATAATATTTAAGTGTGTACATACGTACCCAGCATTAACACAGGGAATATGTTTAAAAATACCTTCTACTTAGATGGCAGAAATATAACAAATATTGTCATTTCTGGAATGTATTAAATATAGATAGAAGCTTAAGCAATTTCAAATTATTATCGATAATTACATTAATCTTTAATAATGAAATAGTTCAGTAGAAACACAAATATTTCTATTCTGACAAAGTCACACAAAACAATTCTTTAATAAAATGGTTGTAAAAGACATGTCTACCATTTGATGAGTGATATTTTTCATAGAGATTAATAACTTTTCTAATTATAATACTCTTAATAAATGCTATTATCATACTTTCATGCAAATTGGTAAGTTTATATTGCCAGGCTTCTTTTTTAAACAATATCTGATGAACTATGGTCAAATCAAGATAAAGATTAAGCAATGTATTATTAAAACACTATGACTTTTATATACAAGTTAAGAAAAGAATTTTGGGGAAAAAAGCAAGTATAAAAATTATAATATACTCTATATGCTTCCAGATTCTAGGTTGCATTCCTATTTCTTATTGCCATAAAATAAACCACAGATCTCAACTGGGAAGCACATGCCAATACTTATCAGAATGCTTAAGAGCTGTAAACAATATATTAGTTAAGTCCAAACAAGAGGATTGAGATGTGTTTTCTTTTTTGGCATAAAGTAGGAAGAGAATTTTGCCCTACTCTAGTATTGAGGATTGAACCCAAGGGTACTCTACCACTGAGTTTTATTCCCAGTCCTTTTTATTTTTTATTTTGAGACAGGGTCTCATTAAATTGCTAAGGCTGGCCTTGAACTTGCAATCCTCTTGCCTTACCCTCTCAAGTTGCTAGGATTATAGATATGAGCCACTATGCCTGGCTGGAAGAGACCCTTTTGAGAATGCAAGGATCAAGACTGTTAGGATTGAAATTAACCAGGTTGCAAAAAGTATCCCACAAAGTTGTAATAGCTGAAACTATAAATTCCCCTCACTTTATTTAAGAGATGGTTAATTTTTCCTATCTTCATAATCTATTGTAAAATAAAGATGTGCATTACTTATTGGCATTAATTTTACATTTCCACACATTGTCTGTTAAGGCTTTGATTCTGTACTTATGGATGTCATTAACAGTTCGGGGATATTATTAGTTTCTAATAAAGCCTTTGGTGGTAGTTGTAATAGCAGGGTAGGCAAACAACAACAAAAGTGTTTTCATAAAGCAACAATCAAACCCACCCAACTTCTACAGTAGTTAACAAAGAAGTAAAAGGTCATTCTAATTTTGGGTTAAACATTGAAAAATATCCTTAAAATATCAGAATTCTCTTGGACTTGCACAATTATAAACATACTGACCTCTATCTAGCAATAACATCATTTAATACTGGGCCATGAAAGAGCTTCTGATAAAAGGGCCTGGATCATCTCAAGTGCTCCTTACAGTTAGGAAAATCCTGGTCAAATGTTTCTTGGAAAAGTAATAGCATGATTTCAAACAAGGGAAGGAGCAGGTAAGCTTTGCAGAGGCATGCTGAAGGTGGGAAAAGGAATGCCTGCTGTCATTCCCTTTAGTTTTTATAGGAAAGATAATTATCAAGGACTTTGTCTCCTCATCTTTAAATCTAAAGATATTACCAAAGAGTTTTTTTTTCCATAACAATTCAATTCAATAAGTATTTATGGAACCCCTTGGATATACAAAGTTTTGGATTGTTACTTGCTGCTGGCTTATAAAGGCAATGCAGATAGAACATTAACCTATTAGAAACCATTAGAACTTATCTTTATATTTGAAACAAGAACTTACAAAGATCAATTGCCACTGACTTACTGATGAGATTAATTTAGTAGTAGTCTATATGATTAGTTTTCAGTGTCATATTGTAGTCAGTTAAGTATGTATAAAGTAATTAATTTAAACATTTAAAGTAAGCATAACATTTTCAAAACAATATTATAATAAGAACTATCAATTCGCAATTGTCAGAAAAATCTGATCTATGTTTTAGATTTACATTTGGATTATTCCATATATATCATATAACAGCACACCAAATATTTAAGAAGGAAAGAAAATCAGTTATCAAACACTTATAAACTGTTTCATATAAAACATAAGAGTGAATCTTGGTAATAAGAGAACATAAGCTATAATTTGTTATTCTAATGTTATTTCTATTTTAACATTCAACTTAAAACAAAATAATGTAAAATTAATGGAAGGTAGATTTAGCTAAATGACTTATCATATAAAACATAATAAAACTATAAAATGAACCTAGTATTATTGAGATAATAAAAATATAACCATAAATTTTGCCATGCAGCAGGACACAAAACAATTTGAAATTACCGGGCGAATCAAGGTCACTTTCTAAGTTAGTAAGTTCATCTCCACCTCCTACAACAAAGCCTTCAGGAATCTCCTCGTTAGTATCTATCTCAATATTATCATTTTCATCTGTAGGAACATGTAGCAATAATGTTAGTTATTATTTATATTTTATGTAATTTGTCCAAAACACGAAATAAGAAAAACCAGTATTTCAATAACAGTTATTCAAATTGAGGTCTCACACAGATAAGCAAGTTAAGAAATTAGTTTTAAGTCACTTTTTCACTATTGGATTAACATTTGTATTTTACATTCTTATGTCAAACATGAATTATCACATCAAAGCAGATGCAAAGGTTTTGACAATTTGCCACATGCTGTCTCTGAATGAGCTCACTGAGTCCTTGTATTTTAAAGTGTAATCTAATAATAATCTCTCATAATAGCACACAAAAATAAGTTGATCTGATGAAGAAGTCATCAAACAGTATTTCTAAATTTCATTTTTAATCATTTATTTGCTATTGATGCATCAAGACATTATTTCTTATAAACTTATAGCTTTATTTAAGCCATTTTATGAAGATTTGACTGATTTTGTACTAATGAATATTGTCATAAAGAAGCAATATGAATAAAGGGTAAAACCAGAATACAGTGCCTTTATACAATGGAAGGTTCAAAAACAAGGAAGGCAATACATCTTGGAAGAGTAAAAATTGAGAAAAACTATTTTTCAAAATTGAGCACAAATGAAAGAGGAAGTCTCCCACTATTGTTTTATATCCTTACTAAAATATTTTAGGTCATAATTAACAAAGTCATTTTAAAAAAACATTTATTTTTTAGTTATAGTTGGATACAATATCTTTATTTTATTTTTATGTGGTGCTCAGGATGGAATCCAGTGCCTCACTGATACGTGCTAGGCGAGTGCTCTATCTCTGAGCCACAATCCCAATCCAACAAAGTCATTTTTTAACATTATGAGTTCCTACTATTTATCTTTTCTCTCCAAATCCTAATGATAAAACTGGTTAATTTTGAATTCTATACATTTGGAAAGGCATAGTAATGATCTGATTTACATATTAGAAGTTTAACTTTAAATTCTGTTGTTGACAGGAAATGGAGTTTCTGAAGAAATGGCTGTCTAGCTCTGGGAGGTGAAGAATTCCCCTAATACTCTGCATCATATTTTTTAAATTGGGTAATTTTTATTAATAAGATATTCCAAAGATTTTTTTTCAAATTGAGAAATTCCAAAATTTCATAGTTTTGGTTTAATCCCCCAACTTTAATCCTTTCTGAAATGTAGATCTTTATATGTGACTTTGCATTCCCAAATAAATATTTACTAAAATATTAATATTGCTAATAGTTAACATTTATTGCAGACTTCCCATCTAATGTGTAAGCCATTTAGAAAAGAGAAAATAACAAAGAAAAATGATTGAAAAATCATTTTCCCAGAGGGGAAAAAACTGTAGAGATGAAAATATTGGTAAATGTTTTCAAAGATATAATTAAGGCATTATATCTGGCTATGTTATGTAAGTATAATCAGCTTAGGTATCTTTTCTGATAAACTATGCTTAGCACAATTAGTTGTGCTCACTTTCATAAAAGTGAGCATATTCAATCTCACTGTTCTAAAAAATTCTTTAATTTTATAGTTTAGCAAATGAATTAAAAAACATTTCCTGAGTGCTAAAATGGTGTTCAAAATGCTTATTCAGCATTACTCTATGTCAGAAGCAATTTACTATTAATAATTTTTCAGGATCTAGGTAGGGCATTACACTTGATTGTTTCAATCATCTTCCACTGATTACTAACCATAATTAATCTAGAGCAAAAGTATGAAATTCAACATGCATTCACCACTTATTCAAGAAACTTCTACTGTGCTCTATATATACAATTTGCAAAAGACTATGCTGGATGTTGAGATACCAAGTTCTGAAAGGAATACAATGAAATGATTATAATGCCACACAGTATGGGTGTTATGGGGTGACAATAAGGTATGGAGCAAATTCAAAAGATAACTCTTTGCCAGTGACACTACGGAATTTCTCAGAAGCACTAACTCTTAAATTAAAATTAGATCTTGAGAAAAATATAGAATTTCAAGAGGTATAACTGAAGAGACAGCATTACAGGCATGAAAACAGGAAGGGGTAGAGTCTATTTGGCTCAAGCACACTTAAAGGGAAATAATAGGAGGTAAAATTGTAGAGAGTCCAGAAGGGCTGAATGGGAAGTTCAAATTTTACTTGGTAGATACATTGGTGTTCTAACATGATCAGCACTGAGCTTTAGAAGATTAAGTAGCTTTCAAACAAAGCTTCTCATCGTAACCATTTATGAAATATGTTTAATTTATTAATAGTAATGTAATCACTGGAGTGCCTTTTATAAATTAGAAGTTGTTTTAATATTTTTCCTGCATCATTCTTGCTTATATTTTCATGTACCACCTTCTTTTTCTTCATTTTTTTTTTAAAATAGGGACTGGACCCATTTTTAAAAAACATTTTTTAACACTTTTTTTTTTTTTTTTTAGTTGTAGGTGGACACAATACCTTTATTTTATTTTTATGTGGTGTTGAGGCTCAAACCCAGTGCCTCACACATGGTAGGCAAGCATTCTTTCTTTGAGCCACAACCTCTGCTCTCATATGCCTCCTTCAGTGAGAGAAAAAAGTGGTTTAAAAACTGTTCAGGGGGAGTAAACTATTCATGTGACATCACCCTTCATGTAACATTGCTGACTTATGTGTGGACTGGAGAACAAAAAGGCTAGAGGCAGGAAATCCAGGATGGAAACTGTTATAACTTCAGGCAAGCAGTATGGAGAGTTAAACCTAGAATAAAAGAATTTGGAGTAGATATGACATGATTTGAAAATCAACTAAGTACTGGATTGTAAGAGAAGGGATGTTGAACAGACATCACAATTTTCAGCCTGAGTGATTAGAATGTTAGCATGCTATGAAAAGAAATAGTTAAGTTTGGATATGTGTACTTTCAGGTTCCAGGAATATGTGGAAAATTGTGCCTCCTTTCATTATCCACTTACATAGAGCCAAGTTCCTGCATGTTAAACACATGCAATTTCATTTTATTTCCAGGTTAAATGAAACCTCTATCTACACTACCACTCACAATAGTGCTAAGTAAGTTAACTCAAAGTTTACATATGTATTGCTAACCTTAGATAAAAGGATTACTTCTTGGGAGGGCAAGAGTAAAAACTGGACTCCTATACAGTTTAGGTATTCTTAAGAATGAATTTCTTCTTTCTTTCCATTTGGTAACTTCAGTTTTACAATGAACTTTGAACTTCTTTTTAGCAGTTAATATTACATATTTCCTAACAACTACAGAAATGTTCTAAATGCATTCTAGCAGAACTAAAGTACATGTGCAAGTGTATGTTTAAACATACTACAAACACAGAGATATACATCTTTATGGCTAAACATTTCAAACACAGTGAGTCAGGCAGAAAGTAAACTAGAGATTTATTCTATAGATAAAGCTATATGCAAGTATCATATATAATATATGCATAAGAAAAGGTAAAAGAATATTACATATGCATTGAAATGTGAAAAATGTATTCCAGAATACACTACACAACAATATAGGCAAAACATGGATCTCAAAAGTGTGATTAATAGCACTGAAATAAGGTCAATTGTATACTTTTCCTTTATGGAAAAATTGAATGAAATAATGATTTGGTGACAAAAATGAAAAGAATATCTGCAATGATAAAAAAGAAACTGAGGTTATCATTTAAAATATATTCAGAAAAAATTTAAAAAACACATTCAGATAAAAATTGTTATGATTTTTATATTCTCAGCAAATATCCCCATTAGGTTCACAGCTTTTTCCCCCTATGGTACTTGGCACTGAACCCAGGGCCTCATGCAAGTCAGGTAAGAGCTCTACCACTGAGCTACATGCTCAGTTCTTTTTATTTTATTTTGAGTTAGGGTCTCATTAAAGTTGGACAGATTGTCCTCCAACTTACAATCCTCCTGCCTCAGCCTCCTGAGTAGCTGGAATTATAGGTGTGCAACACTCTATTTGGCTAAAAACACAACGTTTAATTCTAAATTAGAAATCAAACAAAAGATAGAAAACACAATACAAATGTTATACTATTGATAAAAGCTGAAAGTAAAAATTAGTGAAGGCTCTTAAGATTTTATTTCAACAAATTTAGATAAATCTATTTTCCATAACTAAAAATGATAAAAACCATGTAGGCACACAGACATTTTCACTGACACAACAAAAAAGTATTTGCCTTATTTATTTGAAATTTAAAACCACAATACTATCATATCTGAGCCAAAGAGAGGTAAAAACATCAATTTAAATTTAAACTATATTAACCTAACTCAAACTAAAGCCGTAAGCTATGGAACACATATATAAAAAATATAGTACACAAATATACATTATACTACACAATATATGAGTATAATATAATCTTAAAACAAGGTAGGTACCTTTCTTGCAAAAGTATTTATGAACCATTAACAAAAATTTAACATTTATTTGGCCAAGATAAAATCTTAATAAATTCATAAAGCAGAAATTCAGGGCACATTTTCTGGCCATATTATCATTCAACTAAAAATAAAAACACTTAACTTTGTCCCCAAACACCTTTTCCTTACAAGTAAGATGCAATAAAAAGAACCCAAAGTTTGTTACATAGATTGAGAATTTTTCAAATGAGGCCATTATGGGCATATAACTACAAATGATGCTGAAAAAACCATGTGCAGTACATCACAAGTACCTGATTCTCCATAAGCCCAAGAAGGATGTCAAATGGAAGATTAGTAAAAGCTAGGATATAGAATCCAGGAAAAGTACAGTTCTGTTATTTACACAAGAATTAGACTATTTCTGGTTGCAATAGAATGTAAGTGGGTTGCTTGATCACATGGCTATACATCTGTAAATATCTTGCATGTATTTTCTGTGGACATCATGAAGTTAAAGACAACTTATCTCAAAACTCAAAACTTTTTGCACTGAGGCTAGCAGCATGCTGTTTGAGAATAGAAAAAAGAGAACTTTTTCAAGTGAGTTCAAGCAGTGGTGTGAGTGCTGATCATGTTCCAGGGTGTGCATCCATCTAATTATGTCAGGTCTTCACTATACTCTGCTCTTTGTCACTCTAGACCACTAGTACTAAAATCTTCCTACCCTCATACTTCACCCAGGCTGGTCTCAAATTATTTCTCTTTCTTCCTTTCACATTATAACTCTTGTCAGACATAATGATTCAGATTAGTTATTCTTTTCCTTGACTTATTAAACTGACTAGGGTTATTTTCACTTAGGAACCAGATTCTTGTGAATCCAAGTGAATTCTGAATTTGCTAAGTAAAGGTGCATAAATTGCAGGTCAGAGGCAAAATCCAGCCCCCGCCTTGAGGGGGAAAATAACAGCCCACGCCCATGCATTAAAATATTGTTTAAGGCTGCTTTCAGGCTATAAGGGCAGAGTTGAGTAGTTAGGACCGAGACCATATGGCCTACAAATCGTGACACAGTGGCTGGTACTACTCGATAGATAAATACATATTATGAATGGCTGAACTTCAGGTGGGACTTTTACCCTTCCCCTTGTCCTAAAGGTCTCTCTTGTACTGATAGTCTCATTAGTTTTAGCTTAGACTTTGAGGCCAATGCAGACATAATCTGATCCATATTATTTAATGATACAGGCTAAAACATACCACTGAGGTTGGGGAATAGACCTGCTCCATTTGTCTTAGGTCAGTCAACCTCAGTTCTCATTAAAAGTCTACCATCACTGGAGATGGAGGCAGAGAAGTTTGAGTTCCAGGCTAGCCTGGGCAACTTAGCAATACCCTATATCTCAAAATAAAATTTAAAAGGGGCTGGGATATACCTCAGTGGTAGAGGACTTGCTTATTTTACACAAGGCCCTCAGTTATTGAAATGTACTGGGGGGGGGGGAAGACTACTATCTGATACATGGCTGTTTCTAATATCCAAGGCAAGCTGTGTCCTATGGGAGAAATGGACTCTGGTCACTTTGGACTCCTTAGGCAATAAGGAAGCTAACTCTTCAGCATATTCTCATAAATTATCTGTTAAATCCTGCCTTCTTTTTATTTCACCTGACTGTTCCTATTCTAATCTGTACTTCCTTGTGAACTCTACTGATCCAATCCTCATTTATTTACTTTGTTTATTTTATTTACCTTGACTGTTGAATAATGCCAAATTCAGGTCATTGCTTTCTTCATTGAAGGGAAAATTTTTTTGGGTTATAACACTGACAAAGTCTCTTTGCTTAGTCTAGTCTTGGCATACCCTAATCTGGGGTTGTATTATAAAAATAGGTCCAACTACATAGCTAACCTATGCCACACTATTAATTACAATTTTTTAATTCTTAGTCTTCCTAGAGTTTATATTCATTTGGCATTGTTAACTGCCGAATGACATTGGATCCCTCTCCATCCTACTATTACTATTCTCATACCTGGCTTTATGATGACATAGGAATGTGGTATTTACAGCAGCATTAGGATAGTGTATCTGGAGGATAAAGAATGAGAGATTTTTCCATCATTCAGAGATATAAGAAAGCAAATGTTTCTAACGGTTACTTTGAATATCTGGAATTCTTATGATAAAAGAAATACCTTGCTATTAATAATAAATCTAAAAAAACTAAAAAAAATGATAATAAATCTAAGCAAATTATTATAGCATTATAAGAGCAGTTATTGACATCATTATAAACGCTAATAGAATGGAGAAACTGTAACAATAGGGCCAGGATGTAGTTAGTGGTATAGTGATTACCTAGAAAGAAAGAAGATACAATAACAGTTCTGAATAATAGGAGTTGAAAATGTAAGACGAAGGATTTAATCAAGATATCCATGTTCTTAGATGTCCACAAGGACAGATATACAAGTGCTTGGAGAAGAAAACTTTCAAATTTATGGACTGGAAGGCTAGATACCATAGGCATTAGTTAGAATTCTCTACAACAGTATGCTTTTAATATAAGGATTCATTTTGAAATAACAGCAGTAAGTTCCAGTTTACTTTGAAAAAACTTATGATTGGCCTAGAAAAAGCTTACCTTTGTTTCAGCTCTCTAAGGTCTTATTCGAGTCCTCACTTGCCTGCTCTTCAGGGTAATCTTAACATTCTAAGATTAATTCAGGACAAGTACCTAGCATGTTTTGGTAGATAAATAGGTTATGTACCTTTGAAATCAAAAGCCCATAGGTTTCTTAAATGTAAAAATTTACAAATTAAAAATGATCAAATTGAACTCTGAAAGGTAAAATTAAATTTCTCTTTATATAGTCCTTGTCCCAAAATTAAGCTTAGAATAATCTCTATAAATATTGAGGAAGACTCTTTCAGAGTAAGGAGACTAAAAGGAAACAGATATGGAATTTATTCAAAAATTTTACATCCTAGGCTACAATGCCATAGTATTATGAAAACTACTTTTAAAAGATCTTGTTTAAAGTGTAAATCTTGGGGCCCTGGGTTCAATCCACAGCATCAAACCAAAGTTAAAGCATTTTTTTTTAAAGAGGATTTTTTTTTCTTTTAACATATTTTATTTATTTTTATGTGGTTCTGAGGATCGAACCCAGGGCCTTACATGTGTGAGGTGAACACTCTACTGCTGAGCCACAACCCCAGCCCACAAAGTTAAAAGTCTTTTATGTCAAAGCTCACCACTAACAAGTCTTAATGATCTAGATATTGAGGATTTGATTGCATTTTACTTCTTATGCAATTCATGAGGTATCATAGAGTATCACAACTCAAGAAATATTCTTTTAATAGTAGTAAACCATAAAGTGAAAAGGTTGTTTTGGAAATAGCAACAGTTATCTTCTGATTTACTACATTTCCTGTAGGTTTTTTGCAACATATCAATATTTTAGAAACTTTGTTTTTGATGCAATATTTTGAAGTAAGAATAAAAAGTCCTAAAAGGTCCACTGCAAATTTCTGGGTTGTCTGTAGAATATGATACAAGATTCTTTAACTCACCTCCAGATGCCTTTGACCTTTCTTTCAACTTTTCTGCAGCCATTTCACCATAGCTAGGAAGTTCTGACATCTTCACTCCAGATCGAGCTTCTGCTATTAGCTGACGAGCTCTCTCTCTCAGCTGCCGACGTCGCTCTTCATCTTGCTGCTAAGATATATTGAACAGTTGCCAACTCAGTAATTGACAGAAATGCAATTTCATTTTCAATCTGATCATCATGATAGTAACTGGTTTACAGCATGGTGCTTGGCCCACATTATAAATAGGATGCTCTATATCAGTTGGATGTCACACCATTTTAAAAAGCCATCCTAAAATCAGATTTTTAAAAAACATTTACCAATTATTATTAAAATATACATTAAAAATTCAAACTAAGGACTGTTTGACAATACATATTACTGAGGAAATGCCAGGAACTATTAATAAAAGAATTAGGCTTAAAGAAGAAATTTACAATACTAAGAACAAAATTTCAATTAATACTCTATTTTCTAAGAACAGAATTTAACTTGTTATTTTCTAATAGAGTCACAGAGCACTGTCTGCTTCTTTCATTAAATAACTAAGATGCTGCCTTCTAAAAAGGGATTATTATGAATTGCAAATAATCAATTTGCTTTATAAAATTGAGAGCATATAAAATAAGGCATTATTACAATAAAACAAAAACTACAATAACCTAATACCTCTTTGCAATTTATCTTCCTTTAACATCTCCTAACCTCCACAAAACCTCACATCTATTCATACAAAATTGCTCACATCATGTAGCTTCATGTACTGTGGCTTTGAATGTCATTTCCTCTTTCTGGACTATGTTTCTCTCATATTATTTAACTCCTAACTCATCCTTCAAGACTCAGTTCAAACCCATCAAACTTATCCTGACTATCCTACTTTGGATCTCACTGGTGGAATAAAGTGATCTTTTCTCTATGTAATTATAGTAAGCGTGTGTGTGTGTGTGTGTGTGTGTGTGTGTGTGTGTGTGTGTCTATATCTATATATGTGCATGTGTTAATACTTTTTTAAAACAATACTTATCAAATTATACCACAACTCTGAAGAGAGGCTTTCTTCCCAGTAGAATTGAGCTACTTGAATGCAGGAGCTATATCTGATTTATTTTTGTATTTCTGGTCTATAGTACATACCTTGCTACCATGCTAAGTGTTATAAAAATTTCAAGCATGAAACTTACTATTTATACTCTTCAAAAATCTTATAATATAGAGGAAAATATAGAATAGCCATAGTAAAGAGGTATGATCAAAATGCTGCAAGGGTTCAGAAGAAAGAAAGAACATTTTTGGCTGAGGAGCAAACAGAATATATTGTGGTCTTTGAGTTGGGCTTAAAGAATGAGTAGGATTTAGAATGGTCTGAGATGGGAGTTGCTGGTTAGGTGGTGTCAGTGCAGGAGGCAGGAACAATACAAAGACATAAAAGAAAGAAAACATATTTTGGGGAAAGAACACAATCTAATTTTCCTGAGCATAAGAAAAATAGTGATAGAAAATTAAGACAAGAAAAATAAAGTGGGGTAATTGTTGTAGATGCCTGGTATAGCAGGGATTTACAGCAGATCTCAAAGTATAAGCCTTGGAGCTTGCAGTGAAGCTCAGGAGAAAAAGTGCTTTAATTTCATTCTAAGGCAGCAGGGATCACTAAAGGGTGTGTGTGTGTGTGTGTGTGTGTGTGTGTTTTATAAAGGTTTGAGTTTTTTTTGTTTATGTTTTTAATATGTAAGTCTTTTCTTTTTAATCTAGGGGAATGAACAACCAGAGGTTTATTTGAGAAAAGATTAATCTGGCAGTAGTGCAAAAGATAGGATGGTATAGAAGGACTGGAAAGACGCTAGTTAAAAGGCTTGTGTTAGAATCTAAGAAAGCTATAATGAGATTCAGGAAGAGGATGTGGCAATGGGAATAAAAAGAAAGAAGTGTAAGAAATGTATTAGAGCCAGAACTGGTAAATGTACCAATTCTTGGTAACAGATTAAATATGGAGGAAGAAAAAAAAGACTCAAAAGTTTTAAGGTTGGGCAACTTAGAACTATGGAACTAATAATAGAAAGACTAAAAGGAACTACAATAATGGAGAGAGAGGAAGGGAGGGTAAAACAGACTGGGTTCAAGGAGCTGGCAAGACATTTGTGTAAAGATGTTAGTAAGTAGTTGGGGAATAAAACTGATACTAGGATGTGGGGTCAAAGTAGGATTACAGAGCTGATGGATGACATTACAGGAATATTTGGAAGCACCTGAAGAGGTACCACAGGGAAAAAGGAGGACCACTGAGTAAAATATGGCAACAATTATACTTGGATAAGAGGAAAAGGGCAGAAACAAAGAAACAGAACACTGTGTCAGGAGAATAAAAGCAGGTTTTCAAGAAAAAGAGAGTAATCAACTGCAATAAATGTTAGAAATTAATGTCTGAAAATTTAAAAAGGGCAATTATACCTGGTAAACAATATCATTAGGGAGGGGTAGAAACCAAATGGATAGAACTCAAATATAGGAAATTGTTTTACAAATTTTGAGATCATCTAGAAATCAAGAGGGTTGTCAAAATTAATGATGGTAGATTAATGGAGCTGTCAAGTGGACCCAGGAATGAGCTCTGAAGTTCTCAGTGGACTAAATGGGATGATTTCAGTATTAAAAAGAACAATGATTATACAGAATTGAATCAATGAAAAGTTTGAGTCCAATAGGATATTAAAAAATTAGAAGGATATAAAAATGCTTTTTGTTATCACTTGAGGCAGCTATTGAAAAAAATTACCTAAAAATCACTTTTCAAATCATAATAAATGATTATGGCAATGTTGTCAACTGTTATTAAAACTCTTAGGTAAGCTGGGCTTGGTGGTGCAGCCTATAATCCCAGGGGCTTGGCTCAGGATGCTGAGGCAGGAAGATCACAAATTCAAAGCCAGCTCAGCAATGGCAAGGCTCTAAGCAACTCAGTGAGACCCTGTCTGTAAATAAAAACAAAATAGGGCTGGGGATGTGGCTCAGTGGTTGAATGCCCCTGAGTCAACCCCTGGCAACCCCCACCCCCCACCCCTCAAAAAAATCTTTTGGGTAAATGTCTGGTCGGGAACTGGATAATCAAATTATGCTGTGGCAGACTATGTATTCCAAAGATGTCCTGAAAGAATCTCTCCTCCTACACACTCTTCTAAAGTATGATCTTGTCATCCCCTCGATAAGAGGTAAAATTTAATTTCTCTTGGCTAGCTTTAGTGACTTGTATATAATCAAATAAAATGTGGAAGAGCTGCAGGTGATTCCAAGGTCAGAAAAGGCCATACCCATCTACCTAGTTGCCTTGAAATTCTTGCATTGTGTACACTCTCTGGGAGCCAGCTGTCTCCTAAGCTCAAGATGTATGGGCTCTATTCAACAGTACCAGACAAGTTTCACTTTGGGTTATCCTGGCCTAAGAACTAGACATGAAAATGAAGAAGGCTTCACAACTGGGGATGTAGCTCAGTGGTGGCAGAGGCCTTACTTAGCATGCATGAGGCCTTATTTAGTATGCATAAGGCCCTGGATTCAATCCCCAGCACATTAAAAAAAAAAAAAGGCTTCAGATTATCTCCGCCTCTAGCTATTTTGAAATACCCTCAGTTCAAGTCTTCCCAGCTGAGGCCTCAGACAATGCAGAACAAAGCATATGCTATTGGGTCCTGACCTACAGAAGTAAATCCATAAGTACAATAATACAACATTTTTTTCTATGTTTGGGGTCACCTGTGACATAGCAATAGTAATTAGAACACATGCTTAAATAATACCACAAAGATTATTATTAATAGTGAATCAACTATACATTATATGTTTTTTGATGTGAAGCATAAGAAATGCACACATATAACATTCTACCCAAAATGTTTAAAGTGAATCCACTTAGTTTTTAGAATTTCTAGTTGATTATATACACAAAGGATAGAGAAACATGATAAATGACACAGCAAGAAAACAACCAAATTCAAAAGGTAGGATATTTGGGACAATTGATCTAGTCACTTTAACAAATGAGTTAGAAAAAACAGAGACATAACAATAAACAACTAACCAACTACCAACTATCATCATGACTACCAAAATGGACTTAACAACCAGATGCTACATATTAGATACTGGTTTGGAGAAACCATCTATAGATGATATTGTTTAGGCAACTAGAAATCTGAACATGACCTTAGTATGAAGAAAAGAGAAAGCAAAATGATTTTAAAAAGTTTACAGAGTAATAACCTCATTTTGGCAAAATAAATACACATAATATACATGCAAGAAAAAGAGTTGAAGGGTATACACAAAAGTTTTCATGGTGGAGATTTTGAAGATCAAAATGTGATACTTTTATTCTCTTTCCTGTAATTGTTTTTGTTTTCTAACTTTCTTCAATACAAATGTACTACTACTCTTGTAATAAAAACTAACAATATAAGAGTCTTGGAAAGAAGAAAAGAGATGAGATGGTAGACTTTCTGAATATGGACTGTGATAAAGGAAAAAGAGAGGTCTAACATTCAGAGAAAGTTTTCTCAGTATTTGAAAGCACAAACTTATTTGTAGGCTGAATATAGTTTACAGTAGGTAGAGTGTGACTAAAGATGCAAAAGTAATATACAAAAATACTTTGACTGGGAATGTAGCTCAATAATAGAAACTTGCCTAGTGCCTAGTAGGAGTGAAGCCCTGGGTTCAATTTCCAGCACTGCAGGGGGGGGGGGAAGAGCTGTTGTTCACTATCAATATTTCTAAACTTGGAAAATATTCTAGGAGGAAAGGGAATATGGGCCTGATAATGTTGACGGTTGCTGATATTCCCTGAGCTTTTATGTGTGAAGTGCTTAATATGCACGATCCCATTTAATTGTCAAAACCTATTTTTACCAATGAGAACACTTAGGTTTTAAGTCCCAAGGTCACACAGCCAGAACTGATGTCACAGCCAGGAGTTTAGCCTATGTCTCTTTGACTCCATAGCCCTTGTTCATAACCACCAAACTATTTGATCCCAAAAGTATCAAATTACATGACCAACTGAGGAAAATTGAGCTTTTACTAAACTTTCATCTTTCAAACTTAAGAAAAGTTAAGAGCACTAATAAAAACCATTAT